AGCACCTTAGGTGTCTTAGGCATATGTGTGCCAGAGAGTTGGAGATGAACCCTATGGAAGATCAAGGGCCCGCCACATCAGGAAAGTTTCTAGAGGTCCAGAGATCTGGGGAATGTCAGGTATCTTCTAACATGAGTGTCAAGTTGCCGCCCCTTACATCCTACACCGTGAAGAAAGAGGAGCAATGTATGGTGTTGTGCCTTTTGCATTTTGGAGCCAACATATATCACATCTGGGCGAGTTGCCTTGACTCATTTACTGGGTAACCTGTAACTCTGACATTGTAGGTGTGGATCTAAAAAAGGCTCTTCAGAAGTCCAGGCTGTGATGGAAGCTGCCCTAGCACTTGAGCGCTATGCCCGGTAGATCCAGGTGCCTGACTTAGGTGTCAGCCGAAGATGCCGTGTGGTGCCTCTGTCAAGCCCCAACAGAAGCATCACAGCTACGACCCTTGGAGTTGAGGCCATGCTATCCTCTGCCAATGACTATTCTACTTTCTGAAAAGCAGCTTCTGGCTTGCTAACTGGACCTTGGTAAAGGCTAGATGCCTGATTTATGGAACGTTGCGATTAGCGAACTCAAATGTTCTTCATAAACTGGGTGTTATCTGATCCACAGAATCACGAAATTGGATTTGCACAGTTGCATCCCACTCAAAATTAAAGTGATATACATGATACTGGGCTCAAGCAGGTCCAGAAGGCACCAATAAACTGTGCGAGCAAGTGGTTCAGACTCCCACGGTATCCGTTCCTCCGGCTTCACCTCATTTCCCTCAGTTTACACTCAGTGACTTCAAGGGAGGAGGAAGGAGTCCAGGCCTGGTTTATGGAAGGCTTTGCACAGCAAGCGAGCGATGGCCGGAAGTGCACAGCTGCTGCACTGCAGCCCCGTTCAGAGGGGGCCCTGAAAGATGGTGGTGAGGGGAGAGCCTCCCAGTGGGCAACACATGTGTTATCCACTTTGTATGGAAAGAAAGGAGCCTAAGGTAGATTCCACGTGGACACATGAGCAATATCTAATGGGCCGGCAGAGACTTGGAAAGCACGCCAGTGGGAACTTGACATGACGGTCTAGGAGAGAGGTCTGTGGATGGCTTCCCGAAATGCTCACGGAATTGGAAGACGCTCACGTCCCAGGTAAACGCCCGTCAGAAGGCCATCATTGGAGGCGTCCGCACTATTTAGAGAAGATGACCCATCCTGTAGATTCGGTCAGCCTCTTTCCCAGCCAAACTGGTGCTTTGTCAATGGACCCGTGTACAAAGCACGAAGCCACCAGATTTCTGCATGTGATAGGAGATTTCTGTGCTCTTTGTCAAGTTTTCATACAGCTTTTTTTTTATTTTTTTAAATAAAAAATTTTATTGTGGTAAAATACACATAACATAAAATTTACCATTTTAACCATTTTTAGGTATACAATTCAATGGCATTGAGTATACTCACAATGTTGTGTCATCATCCCCACTATCCAGTTCCAGAACATTTTCATCACCCAAACTGAAACTCTGTCCCTTTTAAACCCTAACTGCTCATTATCCCCTGCCCACAGCCCCTAGTAACCACTAGGCAACTTTCTGTCTCTGTGAATTTGCCAATTCTGGGTACCTCATTTAAGTGGAAGGATACAATATTTATTCTTTGGTGTCTGGCTTATTTCACTTAGCATAATGTTTTCAGGGTTCACAGAGTTTTTGTGTTGTAGTACATTGTCAGAATTTCCTTCCGTTTTAAGGCTGAAAATTATTCCATGGTATGGATAGACCATATTTCGTTTATCCATCTATCCATCCATGGACATTTGGGTTGTTCCCATCTTTTGGCTACTGTGAATAATACCGCTATGAACATTGGGGTACAGATATCTGTTCAAGTTCCCACTTTCAATTCCTTTGGTACACACCCAGAAGCGGAATTCCTGAATCATATCACTCAGTTTTTTAAGTACTCTCAAGTCAACTAGTCTTTGTTTAATAAAGTTAACCATTTTGTAGCATCATCTTTTTTTCATCTCTAAGTGTTTTTGACACCAGCACCTCTTGTGAAGAAAGCAGTGTGTGTGACAACACCAAGATTTTGTTTGTTGGTTTTTGGTTGGTTTTATTTTGTTTGCAAGAGCAGTAACGCTTGGGGCTGGCCCCGTGGCCGAGTGGTTAAGTTCACATGCTCCACTGCAGGCGGCCCAGTGTTTCGTTGGTTCGAATCCTGGGCGCGGACATGGCACTGCTCATCAAACCACGCTGAGGCAGCGTCCCACATGCCACGACTAGAAGGACCCACAACAAAGAATATGCAACTATGTACCGGGGGGCTTTGGGGAGAAAAAGGAAAAAAATAATAAAAAAAAACAAAGAGCAGTGACGCTTTCGGTGCCAACTCTTGATGGGAACATCATTGGTTCAAATGCCAAGACAACTCTGCCAAGACAGATCTTTTGATTCCAGATATGAAGAAACACTAAATATGGCTTGGCTCTTTGTTTCTTTGTAAAAGCTGTTTGCAGCTGAAAAAAAAATCTCTTGATTATCAGCATCATTTACAAATCTTATAAGTGCTCTGGCATGGCATTTAGTGGTAAAATCTGTTGACTCATCAGCCTGGATAAAGAATCTATTGTTTTCAGTTTATTACCAAAAAAACCCCAAAAAGTTCTTCAGCATCATGTGACATGTCAACAACACGTCAAGTTTCCACTCTGAGAGTAGAACCTTTCCACTTTTTTGTACAGCATTTTTATTTTCTTTCTTTCTTCTCCCTAAAGCCCCCCAGTACATAGTTGTATATTTTAGTTGCGGGTCCTTCTAGTTGTGCTGTGTGGGATGCTGCCTCAGTGTGGCCTGATGAGCGGTGCTAGGTCCGCGCCCAGGATTCGAACCAGCAAAACCCTGGGCCACCGAAGCAGAGCGTGCGAACTTAACCACTTGGCCATGGGCCGGCCCCTTGGTACAGCATCTTGTGCTAGCATTTCACTCACTATGACTTTATATGCTGGCATCATTAGGTTCTCTTTTCTGGATAATAGATTCTGCTGCCAAATAACTTGCTCTTTGAGCCTTTTTACTGAATATAACCTTTAAAATAAAACCTTAATCTGTTTATTTTGAGATACCAATAGATAAAAATTAGCCCATTTACTTGTCCAATGGCTGATTTGCAGCTAAGTTCTTTTCAATTTTGCTGAAGCCATTGCTACATTTGTAAACTGTCATTCTTAATCACTAACCCTACCAGATTTGTTCCTAGTCTTAAGCTCCTCCTGTTTCGTTTCACACTTCATCATAAAAAATCACCACATTGGACCATTAGACACATTTGTAAGACACAATCGCTGATAAGATACATGATAGAATGGCATAAAAATAACTAAACAAGAAACTTGCAAAAAAATACAAAATCCTGCTGAAATTCACTTCTAACCTGCACGATTTATGCCTCAGAGCGTATACAGCCACAGCAGCTGCATCAGAGCATGTAAAAATTATTTCTTTACAAGGAAAATTTCCTCTGATTTTCTAACACACCAGAAAGTTTATTTGCTCCCGTCAGTCAGTCGTCAGTGCCGGCTGATGCGGAGGGATGGGGAGGTCGCTCAGGAAGGCAAGGCTGACGTCATCAGTCTTTCCCTCCGCCCTTCCAGGCAATGCAGTGTTCGCAAATGATCAACAGACTTCCTGATGTCACGTTGAAAACTGAGAAAGGACTCACCAGTGAACACTGCGCGCTGCCAGAGGGGGATGAACAACCTCTAAAGCTTTCTGGGCTGCTCGGTTACCGTCTATCACTAAAACCGCTGGCGTCGCACAGCACGTGAAGTCCAAAAGTAATGCTGCTTTTGTTTTCTTTCAATCACAGTACAGGATCCCTGGCCTAGAAACATCTCAAGGCCAATTCTGTGGTTCCACAGAGCGCTTGTTGAAAACTCTGCCCCAGGGTGTCGACCCCGTATGTTCGCTGTAGCCACGCTCTAGCCCATAGCAAGAGGGGAAGCGGGTTCATAGTCCCAGTGTTTTAAGTCCAAGACCCGGAAGTCCTCACGTTGCTTCTGCTCGCACCCTTCGGCCACACCTGGATGCAAGATACACTGGGAAATGTAATCCCTAGCTGGGAGGCCACGTGCCCAGGAAGAAGAGAACGGCTTCAGAGAACAACTAGCAGTCCTACCACACACTCCTCCCTTGTCAGCTGCAGACACTGAGTTCCTCGAGGACAGGGGCTGTGTCTCTGTCAGCACTGGGAACCTGGTGCACAGTGCCACTATAGACTTGGCTGTGCACTCGGGACGCAGCCAGAGTCAAAGGAGTGACCTGTAAGCTTCCAGAAGAGGTGCGCTGGGCACGAATGAAGTCCGTGTACAGGAAAAGCTCTGCAGTGAACTTCAGCAGGAAGACAGGACGGCATGGTGGTTAGGGGGACAGACTTTGGAGTTAGTGCTGATTTTTAAGTTTTTGTTCATTGAGCAGCTCATTTATTCTCTCTGAGCCACAGCACCTTCCTCTGTAAAATGCGGGTGATAATATCCACCACGTGGGGTTATTGTGAGGATTAAATAGGTCCTCAATCAATAATAGCTGTTAGTTTTTAGTAATAACCCAAGAGGGGGGTTTCTATCCCTGTCAATGATCAAGCAGAGAATAATAATATTATTGGTAATAATACCAATTAGCGTTTATTGTGCTGTTAGTATCAGTTTTACAGATCTTCAGTTTTTCTTTTTTTAAAGATTGCCACCTAACCTAACAAATGTTGCCAATCTTCTCTTTTTTTTCTTTCCTTTTTTTCCTTCTTCTTCTCCCCAAAGCCCCAGCCCCGACCCCAGTACATGGTTGTACATCCTAGTTGTGAGTGTCTCTGGTAGCGGGACGCTATCTCAGCATGGCCTGATGAGCAGTGCCATGTTCGCACCCAGGATCTAAACCCACGAAACCCCGGGCCACTGAAGATCTTCACTTTTTTGATCCTATGAGGTAGGTGTTATTATCTCCATTTTATAGAGGAGGAAAGTGAGGCATAGGAAGATTAAGCCACTAGCCCAAGGCCACACACCTACTTACAGTAGAGAGTCAGGCAGCACCCCAGAGCCAACTGGTGTCTGAGGAGGATGGGAGACTGGGCCACTTGGCGCCTTAAAGTTCTTTCCAACAAGAGGGCTAAGGCAGCTGCTGGGGCCTATGGTGTCACCCTGGACTTCTACATCCAGCTTTGCCATTGACCTGCTGGGTTGCCTTGGGCCCGTCAAGAAAATTTCCTAACCTCAGTTTCCTTATTTTTTCAATGAAGACGTTAGACACAGTATCCTTGATTCCGCACTGTAACCCAGGAAGAGGCATTTGGGAATTAGGCCTGGGAAGGGGCCTGCTGGTGACATCATAGAGGGGAGAATTCCGTAAGAAGAGTCGGGCTTTCCTAGAAGCCCCAGGGCCACGGCCTAGGTGAGCAGGGCAATCTAGGAAGCGGCCTGCTGGGCCCACGTCTTGAGCTCTCCTCGTTCCAGGGTTCCTAGCATAGTCATAGATCAACCCTCGATGGCTGGAAAGGCTCACAATGAGGCAGACATCAGTGACTTGGATATGCTTTCTCGCCCCAGCTCATCAACCCCACACCACAGGCCAGGCCATAGTGGAGGCCACAACCTTCATGAATCCCATCCCCACAGTGTGTCCCATCACCATGGTGAGTCCCACCTTCATGACATATCCCATCATCCTGGTGGATCTCACCACCTTGGTGACTCCCCAGACTTCAAAGACAATGCCTTCTCCCGCCATTCCCACCACTCTCCCCACCCTCCCCACTCTCCTCACACCCCCCACCATGGAGAGGCCCACCATCATGGTAGAGCCCACTACCCCACAACCCTTGTCCTAGAGCCTTCCCATGGTGCTCATGGTGCTCATTCTTATGGTGAGGACCACTTTGATGATGAGCATCACCATGGTAGCAGGAGAGTCCAGCATGGTGAGTCCTACCACCATGGGGGACCCCACCGGGGTGAGTCCTACCACCATGGGGGACCCCACCGGGGTGAGTCCTACCACCGTAGGGGACCCCACCGGGGTGAGTCCTACCACCGTAGGGGACCCCACCGTGGTGAGTCCTACCACCGTGGGAGATCCCACCGTGGTGAGCCCCACCACCGTGGGGGGCCGCACCACCATGGTGAGCCCCACCTCCGTTGGGGGCCCCACCACTATGGTGGGTCCCATCTCCATGCGAACCCCCTCCACCATGGTGAATCCTACCACCGTGGAGGCCCCCATCACCATAGTGAGGCCTATCACCATGGTGGGCCCCATCATGATGTTGCTCACCACCACGGCGGGCACTCTCCTCATGAAGCCCACCACCACAGAAGGCCTCTTCATCATGGAGAGGCCTATTCCCACCATTCCTACGTGGAGCCCTACCATGATGACATACCTGGCTACATTAGTGAGCACCACCGTGGCCACCACGATGAGCACCACCACAAGGAGCACCACCACGGTGAGCACCACCACGGTGAGCACCACCACGGCCACCATGGCGAGCACCAGCACAGGGAGCATCACCACGGTGCACATCCACATGATTATCTCCAAGGCGATCACCACTATGGGGGGCACCATCATGGTGGCTCTGAAGTCTTTGGCCCACACAAGTCCTACAGCATGGCCAGAGCCTCCCTCGACTCCACCCATTCTTATGCATCAGCCCGCCAACCGAGCATAGGACACATACAGAACTTGATGCGTTCCCGCAGTATGATTCATATACCGGGCGCACAGGTCTCCAGCAAAGTCCATCCTCAGGATTCTTCCTCTAAATCCTCGGAAAGCTGGGCCGAAGAAGATGAGCAATTTCAGAAGCGCAAAGGTGAGTCTTTGCTCACCGTCCTCCCCCTCCCCCCGCAAATCCCACTGCCTGGCCCAGATTCCAGACCTAACCGGGCCCTGCACTGAACATCCACAGGTCACATGGCTTAACTCTCCTCTGCGTGTCTATTCCAATGGCTACTCGCTCCCCTGACTGCTCATCATCCAAACTTTTCTTCCTTGAGCTGTGCACCTCTTCGGGGGTTGGTTTGTTCATTTGGTCATTGCTTCACGGCTTCACACATTCACTTCTCGAACATTTCCTCTTGTCTAATACGGGGCCTGGCCTGCCTGGGCCCTGGAAGCACAGGAAACGCAAACCCTGTCCTCAGGGAGTTCCAAGGCTGGGGGTGGACACTTAAGCCACCAATTCCAGACCCCCCAACGGTGGGGGCCTATCCTCCCTATCAGAACAGTTACCACTGTGGATTCTATTTGTCCACATTTCCCCCACTAAACTGTAAGCCTCTTGAGGACAGAGACCGGGAATGAGTGCCTGAACGAGGGTCTTGTGTGAGGGCAGGGAGGGACCTCGGCTGTTAACACCCAATCCCCCAAACTTAGTCCCTAGTGGTCCACTAAACATGGCAACAGTTTCACGAACATCAGAGAGGGATAGGTGTCTAACTGGATGGGGTAGGGAAGGGTAGCCAAGAGGAGGAGACGTTTCAGCACAATCCTAAAGGGAGAGGGAGAGTTCACCATGCGGGTGCAGTGGAGAGGAGGGGCGGGTTTTCCGAGTGTAAGTTGACATGTGTGTAAAGAGAGGCATGGAGGTGTAGGAGCCTGAGCCCTCGTGATGTGCTCAAGAAGCCCCTAAACCCCAAACAGGTTGGCACCTGCCATGGAAGGGGTCAGGCCTGTGGCCCCAATACCAGCACAGGACTAGCATAGCGGCACCTTAGGGAGTGAATGGCAAGCAAGCAGACAGTCGTGAAGATGAACCCTGACCCAGCCTGGGAGGGTGCCAGGATCCCCATGCCCACTTCCCACACAGACTTGACCTTCTGGCTCCCTTACAGCTGGCCGTACCCAGCGGCCCCACAAGAAGCTGCACACCTTGTACCTCTGCTATTGGTTGTGGGAAAAATTAAGCTACTTCATTCAGGACCTCAGGAGAATGCTCAGGAATCTGATTGAGTCCCTGGCCTTCGAAGCCTTCATCTTCCTCGTTGTCTGCCTCAACACCATCATGCTGGTGGTCCAGACCTTCGCTGAAGTTGAGATCCGGGGTGGTAAGAACCAGGGAGCCCTGTTCACGTGGAGAAGGCCGTTGATGTTGTTCCAGCCCTCCTGTGGGCCTTAACCAGTGCTAGGAGATTTATATAACTTATTTGATCCTCACCTTTGGGAAGTAGACGAAATCACCAAGCATTGGAGATGAGGTTCAGAGAGATCGCTGAGGTCAACCAGCCAGCCGGAGACAGAAAGGCCCCCTAAACTGAAGGATGTGCTTGTCATTTGGGGCTACAGCCACCAGATGGCGCATCTGTTCTAAATATGCGGCCCTGCGCCGGGAGCGTGCCCTGAACCCAGGTTTACTAGGAGGGCCTGGAGACCGGGAGGAGGCTGCCCTGGGGTGAGAGCGGAAAACCTGGAAAGGCAGCCAGCAACACCTCGGGGAGCAGGATGCAGGAAAGGACCTGCCACAGAGCACGTAAACTAAGGAGAGAGGAAGAACGGCTGATGTTTCTTTCGTGCTCGCGGTTTTAGGCTCCCTTCTAAGCACTTTACTGTGTTAAATGCATTTAATGCTTATGAACTCTCTATCAGGTAGGCTGCATTGTCGCTGTTTTACAGGCAAGAAAACTGAGGCACAGAGCAGTTAGGACACACAGCCATTAGAGCAGAGCCAGGTTCTCCCTAAATGGCTGTGTGTGAGGTTCTAGTGGAGAGGAGGAGAGAGGGGCCAAGGTTGCTGGGGATGGTCCTGAGCAAGCCCCTGGTGTCCCCGCAGAGTGGTACTTCATGGCCTTGGACTCCATTTTCCTCTGCATCTACGTGGTGGAAGCTCTGCTCAAGATCATGGCTCTGGGCGTCAATTATTTTTATAACTCCTGGAACAATCTGGGTGGGTGACGATGTGGCCTCTGTGTGTGTGTGTGTGTGTGTCTAGTGGGAGCCACTGCATTGCCTAGGGGAAGCTGAAGACAAAAGGGGACAGGGACAGAAGGTGTTGGCGCTGGGAGGACTGTGGGTCTGGGCCAGCAGCCTGGCAGGAACCTGTCACACCCAGGCCCCCCTGCGCCCCCCAGATTTCTTCATCATGGTCATGGCGGTGCTGGACTTCATGCTCATGCAGCTCAACTACCTCTCCTCACGCACCTTCTACCACCAAAGCTTTCGAATCTTCAAGGTCTTCAAGAGCCTGCGGGCCCTGAGGGCCATCCGGGTCCTGCGGAGGCTCAGGTCAGCCGGCCACAGCCGCCTACCCTGATGTGGGGACTCTGAAGGAAGTGGGGACACAGGCCTGCACTCCCAGGGGATCTGCTTTGCCCTGCTCAAGGGATGGGACTGATCAGCCCACTGGTCAGTCTCCTGCCATCGCTAGGATCAACCTCTTCGTTTTCCAGAGAGGGGTTGGGACTCCTCCCAGGTCACTAGCAAATCAGGGACTTCCTGCCCTCAGTGTCAGCTCTGGCTTCTGGGCACAGAGCACCCCCCCTGCTGATCCAGTCTCCCTGCCCATCTCTGTCCACAGCTTCCTGACCAGCCTCCAGGAAGTGACCGGGACCCTGGCCCGGTCCCTGCCGTCCATCACTGCCATCCTCATCCTCATGTTTACCTGCCTCTGTATCCTGTGCTGTGGGGGCTGGCGTGGGAGCCTGCGGGGCTGCCGTAGAAAGGGTTGGGGGGAAGCAACCGGGAGCGGGGGTGGGGGGCTAGGCCCCTGTGAGCCTGGCTTGGCCCTGAACGGCCAGTCCTCTTCTCTGTGGTGCTGCGAGCCTTGTTCCGCCAGTCTGACCCCAAGCGCTTCCAGAACATCTTCACGACCATATTCACCCTCTTTACCCTGCTCACCCTGGACGACTGGTCCCTCATCTACCTGGATAGCCGGGCCCAGGGTGCGGCAGGCCCCAGGCCGGGTGGAGGGCAGGGGGCTGGCTGGGCAGGCAGACCCTGAGGGCTCAGCTCCCCCATCTGCAAAGTGGGGCTTCTGATGCTTGCTGCCCGGGTGAGGGCCGGCAAGGAACTCACAGTTCGAACAACCCCCTCTGTCCAGGCGCCTGGCACATCATCCCCATCCTCATGATTTACATCATCATCCAATACTTCATCTTCCTCAAGTGAGAACCCCGCCCCTGCTCTGCTTTGCCCCACCACCTAAACCCAGGGCGCCCCCTCCCCAGCCCTCTCCCCTTGGTCATGCCACGATGAGGCCAGAGGAGGGTGCAGGGCCTCTCCTACAGCCTCCTCATTGAGAGTACCCTACTGTCCCCCCCAAAGCCTGGTGATTGCTGTCCTGGTGGACAACTTCCAGATGGCACTGCTCAGAGGCCTGGAGAAAGTGAAGCAGGAGGTACTGAGTGGGGCAGGGCAGGTGGACCAATCCGAGAGACACGAGGAGGGAGGCACGGAGGTTGGAGGGGAGGGAGGAGGATGCTCCAGGGATGGGCAGGCCTGGGACTCTGGCAGGACCGAGGCCTCTTCTTCCCAGAGGGCCGCCTGGATCCATGAGAAGCTGCTGGATGACTCACTGACAGAGCTCCGCAAAGCAGGTACCGCCCGCCCTCCTGCCACAATCAGACACGCAATTCCAGGCTCGGGTTTAGAGTCTTAGAGCCAGAAACTCAAGAGAACTTTCAGAGTTTAGAACTTTGGTCCACAGAACTCTGAGACAATCCTCCAAAGACCACTTAAACTGATCGTCAGTTCTTGAAAGACCCATTTGCAAAATGACTAATTAGCCCAATTAGGATTCACCGAACACCTGTTTCTATTAATAACTCATAAAGTTTATAGCCGTTGGTCTGACATGGGATGGTTTCAACTGCCTTTTTTTGAGGGCTTTGTCAAGGTGTTATACATGCTTGTCTGGAGTCGCTCAAAGTGGCTTGAGAGGCTACAACAATGAGTTTCCCATCCCTGTTCATTTTTACACACCTGACTTTCCGGGTGAATTGATTTTGAGCCAGTTGCTTGCTTCCTGCTTAAAGATCTTCAGAACTTTAGAATCCAGAATTCCACTCTTAGGATCATCAACACCAGAGAACTAAGGATCATCAGGGTCACCTGGTCCCTCACGTGCCCTCTCCACTGGGGACAGATACTCAGTGCAAAAAAGCTTAAGCAAAAAGCAGACTTAATTGGCTCAAATTACGTAGCAAATTGAGGGCGTGTGGGCTTTCAGGAAAGGCTTGATCCAGGACTCAATGATGGATGGCATTTGGTCTCCTTCCCTCTGTCTGCTCTGTAGCCCTCTGCGTGGTTTTGTGCTTAGGGTGGCTCTTCCCTTGGGGTGGGGAAATGGCCACCTGCAACTCTAGTCCCAGATCCTCCCAGTTTAGCCATCCCTAGCACTCCAGTAGAGAGATCCTCTTCTTCAGCAGTTCCAACAAAGTCCCAGAAATGAGTATCCTTTACTCCCATTGATCACCTGCCTATTTCTGAACCAATCACTGTAGCCAAAAGTACAGGCTGTTTGGATCGGCCTTGGAGTCACAGGTCCTTGGAGCTGGGAAGTGGAGTTAACCCCAGTTAGACAACATGGACCAAAAAGGGAGGGGGGTAGTTCCTCAGGAACACTGGGAGACTTTTACCAGAAGAAGAGGGAATGGATTGTGGACAAACAACAAACAAACAAAACTGCTACATGCTCCATGCCCGGAGAAGCAATCTCTTTGGGGGCATCCTGGACAAAAACTCCTTTTGAATTTCAAACCCAGTTTGAATATCTCCATGCCATACGAGGTTTCCTCCATCCACTCCCAATCCAGGCGTCTTCCTGACCTCCCCCTTCTTTACATGCAGAGCCTGTAGAGGAGATGAGTGAACACACCAAACAGAAGCAGCTCATGGAGAAGAAATTTGGGACCATGACTGAGAAGTAAGGAGATGCGAAGGGAGGGGAGGCCTCTGGTCTAAGGGGAGAGGTCTGCGGGCCTGACCCATGGGCCAGTAGGGAAAGGGACATTGCCCAACACTCCAGAAGGGGGCGCAGAGTGCCAAGGCTCATGTAGAGCTGTGGGTGGGTCATGAAGACCACGAGAGGCTTCTACTCATCCAGTGTTATCTTGTGCTACCAAGAGAATCCCACCAACAGCACCTAAAGGGCCGTGAGAGCCCCTCTGAGGCCAAGGGCTAAGGGCAGGGGCAGCCGACGGGACCTGGAAGAGCAGTGATTCTGCTCATGTTTTTACTCAAGAAGCATCCCTGACGCCTGCTCTGGGCCGGGCCCTCTGAGGACTTCAGGGACTCCAGGAGGACACAGACTAGCCCCTGCCAGGAGGGCCCCACATTTAAAGCCCTGTGCTGGCCAGGGAGCGTGGGTGGACTTCAGCTAGGTGGAGGGATGAGGAGGGTGGTCAGGGAGAAGCTTGGGTAAAGGCCTGGAAGGCAGATGGGCAACACTCCATTCCTGTTGACTTGAGTGGCCAAGGGGATGCCCGGGGACTCGTGGGGACTTGTGGCTATCCTCACTACTGGGGGACCTGGGCTCCTGCTGCCTGGCTTTCAGGCCTGGAGCCCCAGAGAGCCTTCTCTCTGAAAGCTGGGCCCCACCCCACCACGTCCTGACTAGCTCCAAACCAGTGAACAGGGCTGCCTGACTGCCACCATCCTCGGGCTCTCCGCACCCATGATGGAGCCCAAGCCCCAGAGGCCCTCCGTGATCACGTGGCAGCCACCACCTCGTGCATCCTTGCCCTACCCACACAGTTTCCCAAGTGTAGCACATACCTCTCCACCCCCGGGCCTTTGCCCACACTGTTCTCTCTGCCTGGAATATTCTCTGGCTGCCAATGCCAGGCTCAAGTGACCTAGAGTTGGGAGAGCTGAGTTCTAATCCTGCTTGCTTCACCTCCTGGCCACTCTCCCGTCCACCTCCACGTGCTTGCTTGTTGGCCACTGGCCTAGTCTAGGCCCTTGCTGCCTCTGTGATACTTTCCTTGGGGTTTCTTGGCCTCCAAACTCTTCCCCACTGGTCCACCTCCACCAAGAGTGGTTTCTGGTTTTTTGAGGTGGTGGTCGTGGTTGTTTTTTATCACAAGTGTTAACACACTTGGCTTGCTGTCCTGACTCTGCCACAGAGTTTCTCTGTTTCTTGTTCATTTCCATGTCCTCAGAGCACCTCGTAGTCTTAATTGATTTCAGTGTTATTTGATGGATGGATTGAGAAGACAGGCGGGCAGTGAAGGAGTTAATGAATGGGTAGTCACTGGGTGTGGCTGGGGATGTGGGTGGATGACCGACTGCACAGCATGGTGAAGGGGTGGGGAGTCCAGGGAAGAGCAGGCCGATGGAGGGATAGGTGAGCGAGTGAAAGGCTGGGGTGGTTGGACGGGTGAGTGAATGACGAGGTAGATGGGTGGATGGATGGGTGAGTGGTTGAGCGGCTGCACAGAGAGGTATGGCGTAATCGGAGGGGCAAGCAGATGGGTGGATGGATGGAAGGATGGATGGTTGGGAGGGTAAACAATGAATTGTCAGAATTCTCTGTGGTACAGGCAGACACGGTAGCTTTTTAATATGTGGAAAAGGACACATGCCACAAAAGGCCACACTCAGAAAAGTGACGCCATGGCTGGGAATGGAGGTGTAGGGTGATGAAAATGTGTGGGTGAGGTGAGCAAGAAAGAAGAGCCATCGCGGGGCTCTGGGGGCCCAGCAGGCCCCGCCAGGCAGGTCGGCCCAGCCCCACCTCTGCTCCCCTCCCTCTCCCAGGCAGCAAGAGGTCCTCTTCCACTTTCTGCAGCTGGTGGCCGGGGTGGAACATTATCAGCAGAAATTCCGCTCCCAGGCATCCGTCATTGACGAGATTGTCGACACTACTTTTGAGGTGAAGCGGCCAGGACAGAGGGGAGGGGCCAGAGGGGGGAGGACACTGGAAGGCCAGCTTTGGGGGGCTCGTACCCAGAACTGGCCCTGAGTAACAGTCACACGGGCATCCGGGAAGGCAGAGGCTGGCACTGTTTCAGTCACCCCCCCATCCCACCTCTGCAGGCCGGAGAAGAGGACTTCCGGAAGTGACCCCTGGGGAGGGACACCGGATGCAGACTTCAACCTCTGGCAAGTTTCCCACCAGAGTAGGTCAGGACAAGTGCCCAAATCTTCTGGAATGGTCATCGGGACTGCAGGGCTGGGCCCCAACAGTTTTAAAACCCCAGGTGGCTCTGTGTCCTCACTGGCTAGGCCAAGGCACAGGGCAGGGGGACTTGTGTGTATGCACACGTGTGTGTGCACACTCAAGTGTGTGTGCCTGAGTGTTGCATATGAAAGTCGCTGTTCTTGGAGCCCCTCTAGCCCCGCCAGGGCCCGGCCTCCTAGCACTGCATTAGCCACAGCCAGAGGGGTGACGTGGAAAGTGGCCCAGCTCAGTGCTGGAGGGGGCAGCGGACAGGCCCCCTGCTTTGGGGAGGAGGGCATGTCTGGCCCAGAAGTTGAAAGAAAAAGAACAGGCTGGAACAGCCCACTGTTGTCGGGGCCTGGGGGACCAGTAGGCTCTGGAAACCCGGGCTCTGAGCCCAGGAACTTGGCCTACCAGGCCCCTCAGCATCCAGTATAAGGATATCATGAACCCAGAGATCAGAGGTCATTTCCGAATCCTGTCCCGCCAGGAGTCACACTAAAGGGCCTCAGTGGAGGAGGTGAGAGCAGAGGCTGCTCAAGTCCTTCTGGTTTCGGGGTTACGGTGGGGGTGGGGGCGGGGTGGGGACATGGGTCAGGGTGTGTGGAATGGAGGGGGTGCTGTTAGAGGAACTTTGACGAGGCTCACAGTTGTTCCCATCCTTTCATGATTCCCCCTCACCTGGATGCCCAGAGCCCCTGTCCCCACAGCTGGGGGTGGCAACAGGGTACTGACCCAGGTCCCAAGTGCCTGGGCCTGTGCTGGGTGCTGGAGACCTATGACTGAGTCAAGTTCAGCCCAACCCTGGCCATGGGGGCTCCCCATCCAGAGGGGGTCTTCCACCGTCTACAACACGCCCCTCGCCTCCTCACTTCTAGTAGAGTGAAGCCAGCGTGCAGTGCAGGCTGCAGAGAGTTAGGACTGGGACTCGGGAGTTGGGGCTGGGGAGTGACTGGCAGTTTTGCCAGCTGTCCCCTACCCCTAGGCTGGGCCAGACAGTGGTGAAGCCTCCGGGCCCCAGGACGGAAGCAGCACACCCCCCCGCCCGGCCTAGCTGACGGCGCTGGCTGGCCCTGGGCCCAGGGATAGACTGCAGAGGAAATGCCATCTTGGATTGGGGCACAGATTCCGGGGTGGAGAGGCCACCTGGCGGATATCTCCAGGCCTCGCCTTACCCCACCACCTCACACATTCATTCAACAAGCATTTCCTCCCACCTACCCAGTGCCAGCCCCATGCTGGAGGCTCCTGCTCCGTGGCACCCTGGAGCCCTTCCAAACAGCAGCCCCACCGCCCGGCCCTGGGCCGTCTGAGCCGCCAAATCTGACAGGCCTGAGCGGAAGCAGGACTGGAGTTTCCCCTGCATTCCTCACTCCTGTCAGACACAGCCCCTCACTCCTCAGACTTCCACGTGAGTCGAGTCTACTTTCCACGTCTCCACCGCCACCCCAGTGTGGCCTCCGAGGGCGGAGGGCAGGGCCTGGGAGCTGGGGCCCTTCCTCATTAGGTCCCAGCACTGGGCAGGAGACCAGACAGGCACAAGCGGGGTGTCAGGCCTTGCCTGGAGGGGCAGTGGGCAGGGGCGCTCTCCAGAGTCACCGCGGTTCTGCCTGCCTGGGCCTGGTGGTGCCCACACCTTGTGTTCTCAAGGGATCCTGTGACTGCCTGTCCTGTCCCAGGTGTGGGACAGCTCTGGGTGGGGCATGTGGGCCTCTGGGGTTGTGTGTTTGGGGGTCTGTGAATACATCTCCAGGCTGTGCCTCTGGGACAGAGGTGTTGTTTCTGCGTGTTTGTGTCTATGCTTCTGGGTTGCCAGGTTGTGTGTGTCTGTGTTTTTCTAGATATGTCTGTGGTGTCTGGGAGCATCTGAGTGTGCATTGTGGGTTTCTGTATGTGTGTGTCTGGTGTGTTGAGGAGTTCTGGGGGGGTGAGTGTGTACAGCAAAGATGAATTGCAGCCACAAATCCAGGTGTACAAAAAACGTTGCAAAACTGTTTTCTTTAAATGACATTAAATTGCATCTGTCCCCTCATCCCTCCTGTGGACAGTGGATTTGCCGTTGGTCCCCTTGGCGCTCCCTCTCCAGCCCCTTCCAGGGGTCTTGCCCAGGGCAAAGCATTGGGAAGTCCCTCTGGTGTGTGGCCCACAGTGTGTACTTGAGAACCACTGTCCCAGTCCTCATGGTCTCTTGGCTGCAGGTGCTCTGCCATCTCTGGGCCACATGTGGGTATAGGCATCTCCCAGGCTGGGAGCTCAGTGGCCTGGGGCCTGGCTGGCTGAACCCACTTGTACCACTGAGCAGTCGTGGGAGCTGAGAGGGAGCCACGCTCAGGCGCTCCGCAGAGTATCCCCACCGCCTACCCCTTTCCAGTGCTGGGGCAGCCCTGTCCTATAACTTTGTCTCCCACCCCTTAATTCTGAGGATACGTGGAGGCTCTGGAGGTTTGTTCCTCTGTGTTTGTGATGCTGGAGTGTTTAGGGGACTCTGGATTTGGGGGCGGAGCTTTGCACCCTCAGCACTTTCTGGGCTGGGACAGCAGAAACTCAGCTGGGGGTGGGACGGGCGCCCCGGCAGCTGGGGGCAGGAGGAGCTGCCAGCAGTGGGAGTGGAGGACGGGAGAGGAGCAGGAGTGAAGCACTCAGAAGAGACCCATTCAAGAAGTGGTGTTAGCAATTTATTGCCACAGATGTGGCCCAGGGACCTGAAGTGCCCTCCAGCGAGATGCCCGTTTCTGCCTGGTCCCGCCTGCTCCCTCCCACTCCCACGCCGCAGGGGTCTACTGCATGGGCACGCAGTCATGCTTTAGAAGGCTGGAGGTGTTCTGCCAGGGTACCACGAGCACCTCAAAGTCGCAGCGCAGCTTCTGCAGATAGAGCGTGGGGAAAGGAGGAGAGGTGAGCCCAGCTGAGGCCCGACTCCTCCCAACAGTCAGCCCTCTGTCGTAACAGTGCCTGCGACTACGCTCCGGAGCATGAGAGGGGCAGTCACTGGTCCAAGGGACATCGAGTCAGAGGGCCAAGACTAGATCCCAGATCTTTCTAGCCAGCACCCTCACTCCAGGGGGAAGCCCCAGTTTCCTCCTCTCTGCGCCCCACCCTGGCCTGAGTCATCCAGAAGGCAGGGACAGGTTCAGCCAGACATCAGCCTGGCCAGCCAGACCAGTTCAGGCTGGACACCCAGAGGTCTCGGGGGCTGCGCAGGGGTGTGGGGGGGGGGCTGTTACCTCCTGCTGCTCTCCCACAGCCAGAGGGCAGGTGGTGAGGTCTCCAGCCATAGTGTTCTTCCTGCAGGCTGTGCTCGCCATCTCCAGGGTCAGGTAGTACTTGACACCAGCCACCAGCTGAGACGGAGGCAGGGGCATGTCAGGGGTGCCAGCAGACAACCCTTGAGCCGGACCTCCCCTCTCTCCACACCCTCCCATCTCCCATTCCCTTCCCCCTGGACACATTCAACATGCTGGCCTTGGGCTTCAGACTTGGGAAGCTGGGGGTGGGGGGGGGGGCGGGGGGGTGCTGGTGGGGAGCCCTGGGGAGAGAGGCAGAGGCCTGGGAGGTTGAGACCCAAGTGCGCATGTGGTCCTGAAGCCCACTGCCCCATCTCCCTCACCGCCTCTCCCTCCCCACCCCTCCTCTCCCCTCCCCACCCATCAGAGAAGAGACCACTGTGAAGCTAGTGACGTAGCTGTGCACGCTCAGGGTTGGATCCTGTCTATTTGAAATTTAGATCTTTTGTTCATTGTGAATTTTGGCATTAATTCGATTTTTTAAAATATAGTGTATCAACTATTACCCTGATTACTCTCCTGGCGCCCCCTTACTCTACCGCTGGACCGAGCACCTCCCTGGCCTCACCCTGGGGGGCCCTGCGCTCCCCTCTGCTCCCCTCTCGGCCCCTGGCCCCTGGCCCCGCCGCACCTGGCTCTGCGCCTTGAGGATGTTGGTGTCGCGGAAGTAGTAGATGCTGTTGCTGCCCATGTTGAAGGTGGCCACGGCCATCTGCGCCGCCTTCAGCACCTGCGGGTCGCTGGGCGACAGGTCCCGGCGCTCTCCGACCTTGCGCTCCCCGGGCCGGGCCCGGGCGTCGCGGGGCAGGGCCAGGAGGCAGAGTGCAAGCACGGCCAGGCCAAGCGCCAGCGGGAGGCTGGGACGCGCCATGGTCATCGGTGCCAGGCCAGCGGCCCGCGCGCTTTTACGGCCTTCGCGGCCCCGCCCCGTCCCGCTCCGCCCCGCGGGGCGCCCCCGCCGGCGGGGAGGGACCGCGGGGGCCAGGGGCGGTCCTCGGGGGCCGCCTTCCCAGCGCCCTGGGGGGCAGCGAACAGGCCGGAGCACACCTGAGTGCCGCGATGCTGCCCCGCCCTCCGGAACACACCCAGTCCAGTCCCGTGGGGGAAAAGACAGCGACAGTCCCTAGCAACAAGTGCCATTGGGACAGTTCACGGGAGGCCCATCCGCTGTAAAATACTGACAACAGCTATTAGCAAGCCCTTCCTATGACCACCATTTACTAACTGTGTAACCCTGGAGAAGTTACTTAACCTCTGGCTGCCTCAGTTTCCTCCTCTGTAAAATGGGGTGCAGCGAGGATTCCTTAGGTAAAGTGCTCTCATTAGAGGAGCCGGGCGCTCTGTAAACAGCAGGTCAGTGGGAGACATTGCTGTGCTGAGCCCGTGAGGTTTAACCTCACAACCAGCATGAAGCGGCAATCGGTAATGTTTCCACCTCACAGAGGAGGAAACAGGACACAGAGGGGACAACTGATTTGCCTAAAGACACCAGCTAGTAAAGAGTAAATGGGGGCGCTGGCTTTTGAGCTCGGGCAGTCTAATTCAAATCCGTGTTCTCCAACCAGACGGAGCCCAAAAGATGAGCACTGGCCGGAAGGAAGGGCAGGTATCCTACCAGCTCTGCCATTTACTGACTGGGTCCCTCGACCTCCCAGAGCCTCGGCGTCCTCATCTGAAGAAAAGTGCCAACTCTTGTCTTCAAAGGTTATTCTGACATGAATGGGTCACTCATAGGTAAACTGGACGTGTGCTGGAGGTCCCAGCAAAATAGGCCACTATGACTTTTTTGGAATAATCTGATAATTAATATATTAAAAACTGAATCGAAGTAGTCAACATGGGAAAAGTCTGGATTTTGTTGAGATTCTCTATCTGTGTTTTAGAGTTCAGCCTAGTCTGTACTTTTAATCACATGTTGCTGGGGGAGGCGGGGCCTTTTTCCCCTGAGAGAGTAAGATCTTGTCAGTGCTCAGGGCCTCCAAGGATCTTAACTGGGGCCTGAAGAGGTAGTGGTTAACCGTCCCTGACAAACAGTTGGTATTTAATAAGTGGCAGCTATTAGTATGCTGAATGTTATGAGTAAGCATCCGGCATCTCTCCCCCAATTCCCAGCCTCTCAGAATCCCAGGGCCAGGAAAGGCAGTGCTTTCTCCCAGGGAGATGGGAGCGGAGCGTGGCACTGCCCAGTGCAGCTGCTACCCCACCCCCTCAGCCCAGCTGTGAAAAACAATCTTGGAATTCCAAGGAACTGTCACAAGTTTGTCGTGGGCTCAGGTGTCTGCCTTAAAGGGACAGACCCCAGTTTGTGGGAGAGCTGGAGTGAGCTTGGCTTGATGAGGAGGCCAAGGCCAGGCAGGAACCCCACCCGAGAGAACCCGGGAGAGGGAAGAGGAAGAGGACGCCAGCACAGGGAAAAGTGGGAGCAGCAGCCCCAGGGGGCCGGGAACCTCCTGGGCTCTCCCAGGTCTGCTCTCCTGTCACTTGGAGCTCAGCCATCGCCACACTTACCTCCAACAGCTCCCTGGAAAACTCACCAAGGCCCGGTCTCCGACTCCCTGAGGACCACTGGGTCCCCAGCTCCTTGCCCTGCCCTACCTGTCACTCCTTCACACTGCTGCCGACAAGTCTTTTGCGCCCCAACTTCACAATTTCCAAAGACCTTTCACCCACTGGTCTATTCTCACAAGCACCTCGAGGTAGTAAGCAGCATCCTCATTTTGCAGATGAAGAGAGTTAATCAGAGAGGTCAGAACACTTGTCTAAGGTCACACAGCTAGAAGTGGTGTCTTGGTGAGAAAAGAGGGATGGGGAAGGGAAATTAACAATTACTGGGCTCTTGATATGTGCCAGGCCTTGTGCCAGGGACCTGACATACGTTCTCTTGTCCTCATAACAGCTCTGCAGAAGGAATGATTATTACCTCTTTTTACAAGGAGAAAATGAGGGGTGAAAAGGGAAGGGTCAGTGGTGGGTCCCAGGGTGGCACGCCCACTCCAGCATCCTAGTGTGTGAGTCCTGGACTGCTCCACTGGGATATGAGGTCTTGTGTGCAGGGGGAGGCTCCCTAGGGGTGGGGGTGCCCCGGGAGGATTTTCCCAGGGCTGGGTCGCATCTGGAGAAGAGCCTGGACTCCATCCCCTCTGGACCACCCTAGCTTCTAGAAGGAGGCCTGGGCCCGATGGTAAGCTTGGGCTTGACCATCCCCGCGGGCCACAGGGCACAGCCTCCAGTATTGCTGTGGCCCAGACATCCCAACCCAGGCTGCCCACTGCACCCCTCTCTCGCCTCTGGCTGATGGGTCCCGCTGACCAGGCCGAGCCCTTGACATCCCCTTCCCCCTGGGATCAGGCCACCCAGGGCCTTCATGCTGCCCCCAGAGCACTCTTCCTTGAAGCTTTAGCTAGGTTCCTTCCCCCGGGGCTCTGCTCCCTTTCGCTGTGGGACCACCCCCTGGAAAGGAGACCTTGTAGGGAGGAAAGCTGTGAGCCCCCAGCGGTTAAAGCCCCCCTCTGCGGAGGAGCTCTCCTCAGTGCTGGGGGCTTTAGGTTCATTGGCTGATGGAGTCCTCACCACCCTGCCCCAGCTGACAGACGAGGAGACAAGGCTCAGACCAGTGAAGCATCTTGCTCCAGGTCACACAGTAAGTCAAGGAGGAACTGAGACCAGAACTGGGCCTGGTTGGCTCTCTCAAGCTATCGTCAGGCAAGGCAGGAGTGGCAGCAGAGAGAGCCCTGGGTCCCTGGAGGCAAGGTAGAAGGGGGATGACAGTCACATACTCGTGACCACGTACTGTGAGCCTTTCACACCATCAGGGCCGCCTGGGGCAGGGTGGGGAGGTGTGTCTCAGGCTTGGGTTTGTCCTGTAGCCTCCCCTACCTCCTCTCCAGGGGCAGCAGCACCCCATCAGGGCCCTGCAGTGCATGGTTGGGTTCACTCCATGCTCTGGGCCAGATCTGAGCACTCCTGACTAGACCGGCTGAGGGAACCAAGGTCTGGCTGGGTGCAGCCGGGGAGGGGGCCCCGGGGTCAATGTTTGCTGACTTCCAGGCCCACCCATGCCCCCGGTCAGGCCCGTCCTGTTGGGCAGTGTGAGCTGACATTTACATAACCTGACTCCTGCCTGTCCCCCCAGGTCTGCTTTCTCCAACATTCCAGACCTCGTCCCTTTGTCTTGCCCAGTCGGGGTTGGGTCTCTGAGAGGCCACAGTGTCACAGGTACTTTCTAGATGCCTTTTGTTTCCTGCTGCCCCAGGACTGATCCAGTAAGTTGGGTGGAATGCACTAAGGAGCCCAGAGAGAGGGTTTGGGGCCTGCCAACATGTCGCAGGCACTGCCTGAGCCCCGAGGGAGAGGCGCGTGGGCAGGCTCCAGCCCCTGCAGAGACAAAGCCTGTGGTGGAGGCAGGAAAGAGCCCACGTCGAGGAAGCAGAGCAGGCAGCGCGTCCCACAGGATTCTGCTGGGCGGGCCCCAGGGCCAGAGCCACAGGAGGGAAAACCGGGCCACCAGCGTGGGCAGGACCCATGGGAAGGGCGTCGCGGAGGAGGAGGGAATCTCCATTACCTCAGAGGTGCCAGCAACAACCTGGCAGCGTCAGGGCTGGGGGGGCGGCCGTGGCCCTGCCGAACCCCCACCTAAGCACACCAGGCCTGGGTGACAGCATCCCAGCACAGGGTCGAGGTGGAGGGCACTCTGAGGTGACCCTGGACCCATGCAGGAAAACATCCGAAACAGTACGGCCTGAAACTCCAGGGACAGCCCACATTCCCACCTCGGTCGGGGCTTCAGACTGGCACTCTCCCAGGTGGCCTGTAACACAAGGGGGCTCTGCTCTGGCCACCTGGTGTCCTTCCAAGGGGGCCACTCACCCTTCCCAGACCCAGCCTTGCACCTAATGAGCATGAGTTTCTGACTACTCGCTCCGTCCGCGGGTCTTTATTTTTGGTCTCCCTTTTATCCTTCTACTGTTCTGAGATGTAGCTAATGGAAAGTACGGAGAACGTTAACTGTTTACTTTAACCAGCAGACCTGTAGCAGCACCGCACACGACAAGAAATGGAAACCGCCTCTCCCGCCCCCAAGGGCCCCACTCACCGCATCGGGCTCTCTCCCCCAAAGGTCATCACTGCCACTTCTTTTTCTTTACCTTTGACTTTTGCAATAAACATTTGGCTTTTCTAGTTTTACCACCTCTGTAGCAATCCCCAAGCAAGAATTCACTCGTTAACTTGACATGAATGGCATCACATGATGCGCTATTTCGTTTTATTCGCTCAATATTGAGATTCACGGGTCGTACACGGCTGTCACCTGTTCCTTTCCACTGGTATCGCTAGACTGTCATCAGCTAAGCTGCTGGGAATGTCCGCACAGGTGCTGGCGCAAGTATGTGTGTCCCGGGTCACAGCCCCGGGAGTGGAATTGCCGGGTCACGGGATGGGTCTTATCTTCAGTTTTACTAGAAAACGCCCAAATGTTTTCCCCAAGTGTTCATACCGATCTACACTCCCACCACCTGGCTCTCAGTTCCTGTTGCTCTGTTCCCTCACAGCGCGTGGTATTGTCTACAATTTTCCGTACAATGGCATCTCATTTGCATTTGATTACCAATGGGATCAGGCACCTTTTCACAGGCTTATTCACCATTTGGGTATCCACTCGGGCTTTCATCTCTTCTGCCCACTCTCCTATTGTGTCGTCTGCTTTCTCCTGGCTGCACTTCCGTATGTGCTCTGGATCCAAACCCTTGCCGTTTACGGGTGTTGCAAATCTTCCCCACCCTGGGTTAGTCTCTTCACTCTCTTTATGCTATCTTGAGATGAACAAAGTTTCTATTAATGGAGTTCAACTTACCAAGTTTTTCTTCCTAATTTTCTCTACCGAGATCATGAAAATCTTCTGATATTCTCCCAATTTTTGTATTTACTATCTGTCACTCTCTCCTCATCAGACTGTAAGCCCTCTGAGGAAAATTCTATAAGCAGCAGGTCCTCCACGGCGCTCCGCTCGAGGAATGAAAGCCAAGTGGGGCTGGGTGCTACACAGCTAGAGTTTCATCTGATCCTTACATCTCATTTTCTAAGTGGGGAAACTGAGGCTCAGAGAGGCCGAGTAACAGCGCTAAGGAACACAGGGCTCTCAGGTACATGCGTTTCCAAGTTACATTTTGAGGGCCAGCCTGCCTCCTTCCCAGCAGTAAGTCCGTGGACATGCTACTTAGCCTCTCTCAGCCCCTCGTTTCCTCACCTTTAAAACAGAAAATTACTTATTGTGGAAGAAAAAGATGTTGGCAAAGATCTTAGTTGTGGGTCTGGGTCACACTAAGTGTTCAACAAAAAACAGGATGGGGGCCAGTCCGGTGGTGCAGCAGTTAAGTGCACACGTTCCGCTTTGGCGGCCCGGGGTTCGCCCGTTCGGATCCTGGGTGCGGACATGGTACTGCTTGGCAAGCCATGCTGTGGTAGCCGTCCCACGTAGAAAATAGAGGAAGATGAGCACGTACGTTAGCTCAGGGCCAGTCTTCCTCAGCAAAAAGAGGAGGATTGACAGCAGATGTTAGCCCAGGGCTAATCTTCCTCAAAAAAGAAAAACGAAAAAAAAACCCACCAGGATGAAAATGTACCAGATACAAGTGTAACTCACTCAAGGCCCCAGCTGTGATGCACAGGCTCTTTCTGCCTCCCTGAGAGAGCAGGGCACGTGGCCAGAGCACTGCCCACTCCTCCAGAGACCAGGAGAGCACGTGAGGATGGGCAGGTGAATGCTAGCCACAGCTGGTCCACCCTCTTCCTGGAACCTCTGACTCCCACTGATTATTCCGCCAGGTGCTGCCCAGCCCCCAGGTGCTGATGGACTTCTGGAACACCATAGCCCATCTGGATCCCAGGAAGGGATCAACCTACACTCTCTCCCACATTACTAAGGGATTGAGACACTCTGAGGCACCTGCCGGAGGCCCACGTGGCTGGGGTGGCTCCCTGCAGGGTGGGAAGGAAGCTGCTGGTTTCGATCTGCACTGATAAGGGGTGCAGCAGACCTGGTCAGTCTGGGGAAAGGACAACTCCCAGCCCACCTGCTTTTCACACACGAAGCCCAGTCGTGAAGGCCACTGACTTTATTGATTTAAAAAACTCTACAAGGATAGGGACTGTCTGCCAAAAAGGGAGCCAAATGGCATAAAACAGACCAGAGGTGAGGGTGGGAGTGAGGCAAGGGGCTAGGAATCCACTCAGAAAAGCTGGTCATCGACATGAAACTGGCAGGGGAAGGAGAAGGGAGATGCATGCAAGAGCGAAAATTCCAAAAAAGTCGAAACGGTGAAGGGAGAGAACTCCCAAAAGACTCGAGTACATCGGAAGTGAGTACGCAACAGCAATCTTTTCCTTTGTAGAGGACGGGGGGGGAGTCCCCACTCGGCTGCAAACTCTGGAGACTCAACGTTGGGGCTGGGGTTTGGGGGCTCCCCGGAGAGCATCACAAGAAGGCGTCGCACCACTCTCGCAGGCACCCAAAGCAGTCCCGGGACTGCTTGGCGTTGGCGCCACACGTGTCCTTCAGCCATTCCCGGAAGAGGTCTTCATCTTTCTTTAGCACCAGAAACTGGCCAAGAACCACATAGGCCTGCGAGACAGGCAAAGAAAGGAGGTGGCGTTAAGTGCTGTTTGGGACTAAGAACAAGACCACTATTGTGGCATCAAGGCACGTGACCCCAACCAACAACCAAACAATAAAAACGCACAAGAACCTCAAAGACAACATAATCTGGCTAGGCCTTCAGATTATACACCGTCTGCCCCCAACAAGTACACTCACGTTCCTTACTCCCAAACTGCAGGGTACACTGTGGTCTGCCACCTCCAGCCCGCCCCAGGTGCGCGCGGCCACCCCACACCTTGTCAAAGCCCCTTTCCTCCAGCTTCTTGCCCAGGACTTCACCAATCCCGGCCAGGCTCCCCACTGGCTTTTCCCCCATGGGCTCGGCCACGAAGTCTCGGTGCTTTTGAGACGTTGTCATCTTGATCAGGCTAAACCTGGGAATCCCAAGAAAAGGTAGGTTAGGGCTGAAAAACGGGGAACTCCAGAGGGCCCATTAGGAATCTCATGAAGAGGAAGCTAGACCAGCCGTGATGGTGCTTTTTTACTCGATTCCTCTCATTCCACGGATGAGAAAGCCGAGACCAAGGAGAGTCTTTTCCCCACTATTCAAAAGAAGTCTTTTCCACTCCAGCGGGAACTCGCTTTTGGTACTGCTCCAGAGGAAAAACTATCCTGCCCTAACAGGTGGCGCACGCGGGTCAGTGGGAAGAGCCCCAGGGTCAGCACTCAGGGGCCGCCCTGAAGTTCTCACTCCCTCTGTGACCTTGGCTGGGCAAAGGCGACAGCGCCTCTACCTGGGCCGGCTACCTGCTCTGAAAAGCAAATAAGGGGTCTGTCCGCCCCACCCGCCCCCACAGGCCGCTCCCAGAACGCAGGCGCAGACCGGGACGCACACACCTGCCCCTCCAGCCCCGCGGGGTCCCCGCCTGGGCTCCCGCTGCGCTCGCCCCGCCGGCTCCGCCCCCAGCGCGCATCGCCCCGCCCCCAGCGCGCCGCTGCGCCCACACGCCGCGCCCCGGCCCCTCCCCGCGCCGCGGCCCAGCCCGGGCCGAGGGCGCATCCCCCGTCCGCCACGGCGCATGCGGCCCTTTCCTGCCCTCCTTCCCGCGCCGCCTCTGGCTTCCAGCCGAGGCCCCGCTCCACGGCTCGCGCTCACCCACGGCTCCGGTTCCCCTAACGGCTCCTCCCGCCAGCCGCCTGCTCCCGCCGCTGCCTCAACCCACTAGAACTTTCCTCCACTTCCGCTTCCGGGTCGTCTCAAGAGCCACCTTAAAAACCTAAATTGGGCACTTCTAGCCGCCTAGAGCCATAGAGATGAGACGCTCCGGATCTCGACGGCACCCTTAATAGGCGCTTCTTTCTGGTCGCTTTACTGGCTGCAAGGCTGCTTTCCAGGGTCTCGCTTCTCGGCAGCATGTCCGGTCTCAGGGAGCAGAGGCCTCGGAGGAGAAAACTTCATTTCCCTGCTGCCCGACACCCGGAACTCTAGGACTTGGCCTCCGCCGACCTGGCGATGGGAAGAGTTAGAGGGACGGACAAGGAGCGGGGGAGGGGTGGGGGTGGCCGAGAGGCTTCCGAGAGGGCCGGAAGTACGGTGCTCGGAAGGGGCCGACTCAGGCTGGCCCCGCGTTGGCCCCGTCGGCGTCGGGCTTGTAGGAGTGGGACGGGATCCGGAGGTGCCGGAGACCTGAGTTCAAGTCGACGCAACTGTCGTGACTGCCAGCAAGTCCTTTTTCTGTGCTTTCCTTGGCTCAGCTGCCAAGTGAGTCGTGGACGAGCCACTCTCAGCGTCCAGCCTGGAGAAACGGGGTCGTTCAGGCAGCACCGTGGGCGACGAGGGCCGGAGAGTAAGTGTGGGTCTCCTTCTCTGAGCGTCTTTCCTCCGGGATAGGGAGGGAGGGGGGCAGGAGGGCAGCTAGAGGTGACACTTCGGAGTTTCCTTTGGAAACCATAGGTCTTGGTGGCACCAGTCCTTGTTTTCGCAGTACCCAAGTCAGGAGTAGAGCAGATGCCGCAGACCAAGCCGGCTTACCCCGACCTTCAGTTAACTCATTCCGGTTTGGACCATCGCGGTGGACTCCCACCTGGTCTCTCCCTGTGAGGTGTTGAGAGATTGAGCATCCGTGTTGTGGGGCTCTGCTACGCTTGGAATGTGCAAGCATGCTGAGGACGATACAGTTTATCTAACGCTCGTTCCCCAGCGGTTACCGGGATGATTTCTTTCTCTAGAACACGTAGTTTTTGTGGTTATGCCGGTACTTATAGTACCAGTTGTCTTATGTGTCATACACCGTGGTAAGTGTTCTGTTGTCGTTATCTCTTCCTAATAACAATGCTCCGAGTTAGTTGTTGTTTTTTTCTGAGGCCCGGAGAAGTTGAACAGCTAGGCACAGCCAAGGTAGGATTTGAATCCAAGCAATTAGATTTCAGAGCCGACATTCTTAACCAGGACACTGTCACTCCTCAGTAAAAGGCCCCTCCTTGTCTTCAAAACAGTCCTGGGTTCCGAGCCTGCTGTCCAGGAAACTCAGAAGGAGGAGCTGATAGTCTGTGCGTCCCTCACCTCCCTGGGACAGGACCCAGCATGTCTCAGGCCACCAAGAGGAAGCATGTGGTGAAGGAGGTTCTGGGGGAGCACGTGGTGCCCTCTGACCAGCAGCAGATCGTGAGGGTGAGTGGCATTGGGCACAAGCTGCTCTGCCCACTACCCCTCCACCCCCATTGGGCCCCTGGAGTGGGGGTAGGGTGCAGGGCAGCTCAGAGCGTGTTTGAGCTGGCTGATGAGGCTGACTGGTTCTTGGTTTCTGCTGGACCAGGTACTCAGGACCCCAGGGAACAATCTGCATGAAGTGGAGACAGCCCAGGGGCAGCGCTTCCTGGTGAGCATGCCTTCCAAATACCGCAAGAACATCTGGATTAAGAGAGGTGAGAGAGGCAGGCCTCTAGGAGACAGAACCGTTTCCTGTGGCCTTGGCTTCCCCCACTGCAAGGAGGACTGACTGCCTTTTCTCCGCTCTCCCTCCAGGGGACTTTCTCATTGTTGACCCCATTGCAGAGGGAGAAAAGGTGAAGGCTGAGATCTCCTTTGTGCTCTGCAAGGACCATGTGCGCTCTCTGCAGAAGGAGGGGCTCTGGTAGGTAGTCCCCTTGGTCTGTGGCTTTCTGGCTTCTGGGGGGATTGACTTCTAGCTGTGGAATCGGGGGTGGGAGAGGATCCTGACATCTCAGGCAAGGACAGCTGGAAACAGCTTTTTGGCTGGGAGATTTCTCTGTCCGTTCTGACCCTGGCTCTTCTCTTGGCACAGGCCTGAGGCCTTCTCCGAAGCGGCTGAGAAACAGAACAACAGGAACAGGTGAGGAACAAGCCTCGGGGTAGGGAGGACAGAAAGTAGGGGTTCAAGCCTTGGGGTCTTGAGAGGAAAATAGAGCCTGCCTTTCTCCCTACGTGGGATCCCTGGTAAGAGCTCTTCAGTGTGCGGTGTAATATGTGGTTATGAGTATGGCTTGAAAGTCAGATGCCCTGGGTTAAAATCCTGGCTTTGCCACTTTTGTGACTTAAAGCAGGTTACTTAATTTCTTAAGCCTCCATTTCCTCACCTTTAAAATGGGAACTTTGGGAGGATTAAAGAAGTTAATGCTTATAAAATTGCCTAGAATAGTACTTGGTATATAATGTGGGTCCATTGAGCGTTAGTCGATGGTAATAGAATCATTATTGTGGCTGGGGCCACCCGCGGCATAGTGGTTAAGTCTGGTGTGCTCCGCTTTGTCAGCTTGGGTTCACGGGTTCAAATCCCAGGCGCAGACCGACAC